AAAGGTTCATGTGAACTTAGTTCATGTGAACTCTTTTATCGCGTTCACACCAAAAAGAGCCGGTACTAAAATTAGTTCATGTGAACCTTTTTACCCCCTCGAAAGTCCCTGCTAGAGAGCAGGGACTTTCGAACGGCTCTTTTGTGAGAAAAGAGCTATATTTCTGATTGGCTGGGCGGATTGCAAACCACGCCCCGTAAAACTCCCAAAAAGTTTTGTGAAGCCGCCATTTTATTATCCTCGCATTAGCATTATTAGCATTAGCCCAGCGCAGAAACGCAGAGAGACTAACTTATGGCAACACAAAATAAAACATGGGAGCGGTAGAGATGAGGTGTCGGCGTTCTGGCGATTTACTCGGAAGGCTTCAGTAGAAGCTGCTGGGACTCCCAGCAGCTTCTACTGAAGCCAGTCCCCAACTCCGGGGACTTCCGGCCGGAGACTTTGGGCGGCAGTATACGCCGGGAAGTGGTTTGCGGCCTGCCAGTAAACCCAAAGCAGAAGAAGAACAAGTGACGTCAGCGGCTTCATTTGCTAATCCACCCCCAGGGACTTTTTCCAGTGTGAACGCAATCTGTACTTAGTTCATGCGAACTAAATAGTTCACATGAACCTTTGTGGGAAAAGTACCGCAGTGTGAAAGCGCATTATGGAACTTTCTGGCACAACTTAACCTACTTCCCAGGTGCATGGAGAAGGTAAATAAATATAAAGAGGTCCAACTCCAGCAATGTAGTGTAAATAACATATTTATTGGAGGAACAAGGTGTCCTTATGAGCACTAAACAAACATTAAAATAGTTGTGTAAAAATCAGAAACATTTTCTTAAAATGTTTGTGGTTATTAAGCACAGACTGCAGAAAGGCATAAAATAATGTTGGCGTCTTCTGTTAGAAGAGTATACAAAGCTAACTTTGAAAGGTATAAGAATTTAACAAACACACACTAAAAAACGTGATGGTACATGAAAATGGTGTACAGATTTCTTTTTGAAAAACTCACAAAAATTGGCATAAAGTTTTTAAAAAAAACTATAATCACATCAAATAATGGTTGAAAAGAACAAGGGCTTAATGTAGCCTTATTACATTTATTGAAATGAAAATACCCTCGCATTGTACTAGGACAAACTTTAAAAGAATCCCCACAATAAACAGGGCAAAAATGGAAGAAACCTCTGGGAGAGCAACACAGGAGGATCCCTCTCCCAGGACGGACAGACGTACAGGTGTTGTGTGTAGACATCTAGAAAGATAATACATTTACAACTTAGACAGTCCAAATGTTAGAAACGATAATACGTCTATACATATGTAGCCCAGTTATTCCCTAGTTTAATCAGGGAAGGGCCCTGAGTTTGTTAACTCAATAAATCTAATTTACAATGAAGAATACATAAGGTAATGTTGTCTTATTTCTCTTAAATTATCCTGTTTATATTTTACCAATGTACCCTTTGTGTTATCTTGAGTCCCTTTAAGCACCTTTAAGTACTGTAACTTCGCTAGTATTAGATTATGTCTCTATTATTACTCTACTATAACATATACACACTGAACAATTTAGCTGAGTGACATATAAAAGAAATGTATATTTAAATGTGTTGAAAATATATATAGTTTAAATACTTCTATTGATATAAATCACCAAATATAACACTGGAATCAGTTTTAGAAATAGAGATCTCAATTATTTTACTGTATACTTGTGAACAAACAGGAAATACACAGTCAGAATGTACCTTCAATAATGTCTGATTAATAATCCCTTTAACTGGAAATTATTAATCATATCAAAATATTATAAGGTCACCTTTGAATACAATTTCACAGGGCTGTGCAATTAATCGTATTTTAATCGCGATTACGATTATGGCTTGCGACGATTATGAAAACAGCATAATTGACAAAATACGATTATTTTGCTGGGTGCGCTTTCGCCCCTCCCTAAAAGCCCACTCGGCCACGTGGGAGTTACATGTGTTGTGAGTGTTCAGCGCAAGCGAAGATGTCAGAACAAGAGCAGCAACTAGTTAAAAAGAAGGGTCGCGGGGAGATTCCCAGTCGATCGCGAGATGTGTCTAAAAATAGAACAACAATATTCTGTTTTATCGTTAATGTCCTGTAACATAATGTTCCCGTGCCAGAATAGTGCACTTGAACGCATCAAAGCTTTGTGATTGGCCGGCCTCACCCCATGTGTCCGGGCGTGGCTGGTGAGCAGTGCACTAGTTCGCTGACGTTGTCCGTGTCAACAGCATGGATGGTCAACAGGAGTGACAGTCCGCACACACACAAGACCGCAATTATGGCAGAAGCAAAAAAGCCCAAAATATATAATTTTCACTCCAAGTGGGAGGATCATTATTTTTGTATCTATTCCAATTCAAAGTCCATCTGTCTCATCTGCAATGCGAGCGTGGCTTTATCGAAGAAGGGTAATTTAGGAGCGGCATTTCAAAACAGTGCACAAACGCTACGAGACGGAATTCCCTTCTAATTCTGCCCTACGCTCCAAAAGGGGAGGGGCCTGAGAGGACAGCTAAATGCACAGCAGTCCATTTTCACCAGGCCCAACAACAAGAGCAAGGCTGCTACCAGAGCATCTTATCGTGTCAGTCACGTTCTTGCGAAACACATGAAGTCTTTCGAAGACGGCGAAGTTATGAAAGAAGCTTTCCTGGAGGCTGCGACGCGCTTTTGTGGGACAGTAAAAATAACAGCAGCATTTCAACAGGTTTTTGATATAATAAAAACTCAATTTAGATACCGTTATTAATCTGCTGTAAGTTTTAGTTTGTTTGAATTTATTCATGATAATTATTGTACAAAATTGTATAAGAATGCAAACATTAAGATCTGTTCTGTTTAAATTGATTATAGTCTATCAGTTCAGAAACTAGTGTTGCTTGCATCCTATTTTAAAGGCATTTATTTGTATACTCTAATAAAATGCAACAAAAAATGGGTTTGATTCTATTAATGTTGTCTTTTTTATTGCACTGTTGCTGCAGCAGATTACTGTGTAGCTTCAGATCTGAGTTGTCTTATTAGTAAGCCTAATTTATACTTTTGTAGCAACACTATTTTTATATAATGGCAAAGAAAGGGTTCTTCAGAGTCTTTTCTTTTTTTCCTGTGTCATATGTGGCAGCACTGCCACAAGTTCCTCTTCAGAGAGGGTCTTCAGTACAGGTGGCAATATTGTCACCTGCCTGCGCTCATCTCTGAAACCAGACCATGTAAACAGGCTGGTATTTCTTGCAAAAAATCTTTAAGAGATGACACGAGCAGCCCTACCAACATTTGCCATGGTGGCCTAAACATTTTTATTTGGTCTTAAATTGTAGTTCAACATTTATTTCCTGTTACTTCTGGACCATGACGGTTGACCAGCCTTCAACGTTTAACTGAGTGGAATATGTTGAATATGTTTTACCAAAATGTTGGCTATATGTTAAGGAGTTTTCAGTAGGTTGTGACAGTGCACTGCAACATATTTGATTTCATTTATTTTGGTCTAATTTATTTTTATTTATCATATTAATATATGTTTAGTATGGTTTTGGAAGTGCGCTCCAACACATTTATTGATCTTGTTTATTGGTAAAATATTATTTGTTTTAAAGTTCAATAAATGGTCAATGAATAATCGTCAAAATAATCGTGATATCAATTATTGACCAAATAATCGTGATTATGATTTTTGCCATAATCGCACAGCCCTAATTTCACACTTAACTCAGTGGGCCCACACTGACTCAGCACACACACACACACACAAGCCGGCAAATAAAATGAAATAAAACCCCTCACGTTGCAGGCCTGATGTGATGCTTGAGAGCGTTGAAAGTCAAAACTATTTGTCTTCTTCACTCAAATGAGCAATAAAACCAGAGCGATACCTTACATCTTCAACTCCAAACTGCAACTGTACCGATCCCTCAGTCTCAGATGGCGATCAACGGTGGCGGGAAGGTGTCCAGCGACGGCGTGTTCTCTCGTATTGTCCAAAACAAAACTTACCTTCTTATATATCGACTTTTTCCACTTCGATCAACTTTGTTTGCTCCGGCTTCAATTTGCAGCACTCTTGTTCGTTCTCTCTATGTCTGGTCAGACATCAATCTGTTCCACGTAGCGCGCCCCCTAGAGGCCTGGAGCACTTCCGGAATGTTTTTTTTTAAAATGTGTTTTGGGATTTGTATGTGCTTTGGACTTTGCATATCGTTTTGGTATTTGCAGCGTTTTTTTGTTGCGTTTGTTTTCGCGGTTTGTGTGTTGTATTTAGTTTGCATCATTTCTGTAAATGCAGCATTTTTTGGTTGTATTTGTTTTCAGGGTTTGTTTGTTTTTCATTTCAGGATTTGCAGCTGTTTCCTGCTAATGTAACAGTCACGGCCACCGTAGTAAAGCACTTTGAATCGCCACGTGCTGAAAAGTGCTATATAAATAAAATTGCCTTGCCTTAAATATGCATCTTTGTTATGTTGTTATAGCATTACTTTCTCTTAGGTATCTCTTCGTTAATTATTTGAATCTTTTACTACCATTTTTAGTTGAACCAAAATGACAACAAGGCCCTCACCACGACTCCTTGAAAAATGGACAGAGCAAGATGTCCACCTGTGGCTGATGACAGAGGTCAAAGTTCATGAGACTCTTGCAGACAAATTCTTTGAAGAGGAGGTCTCGGGATCACATTTGGATGTCTTTGGAAAGACAGACATATTGGACTTGGGAATAAAACATGGTCCTGCTGTCAAGATCACATCTTATCTAGAAAGTCTCAAGGAAGGATCACAACATAAGTCACAGTTCCCAGCGTATGTGGAAAATTGGACTAAGCAGCAAGTGACCCAGTGGTTACTACAGCATGTGAAGGTATATGACAAATATGCAGCACAGCTTCGAGAGGAAGATGTGACTGGAGATTGCCTGGTTTGCTTCAAGAAGCAGGATTTTCTGGACTTGAAAGTTAAAAGTGGTCCTGCTGTAAAGATTCTGGCAGAACTACACAAGTTGAACAACAAACCAGAACCGCAACTGCAACCTATCTCTGACATCACAGATATTACAGAAAAGCCAAACCCCACTCAACCTGAACTGAGTCTACCTCAGGCCATAACAACCAATCAACCAGAATCACAAAACAAAATTGAATCAGAAACCGACAATGTGGCTGAAGATACATCTGAAAATATTCAGCAATTCAATAAAGCTTCAGAGAAGGACGGAATTCAGCAGACAAACCAAAAAGACTTGGGGGGGAAAGGAGAAAAGAAATTATTGGGGTAAAGTGTTTTGCAGTTTTATAAGTCACAGTATATTAAATGTTTTCACTAATATAGGCTCTAATTACATTTCTAAATGTACACTTAATATCTACTTTTTCTTCCTGCAGACCACAGTCCAAGAAGAAAAACAAAACATCACTTTGGAAATAAAGAAAATTCTCGACAACCTTTCCAAAGATGGCCTGAAAGAATTTAATTTCTACGAATTCACTAAATCCACAAATCAATCAATTCCTAGAGGGAAACTAGAGGGAAAGGACACTAAGGATACTGCCAAGATAATGACTGACCACTATGGAACCTATGAGGCTGTACAAGTCACAAGAGACATTCTACTCAACATCAATCAGCGCCCACTTGCTTGTGATCTGGAGAAGAAAACTGGTAAGACAACCAATGTAAAAAAGGTTTTCAAATAGTGAAGTAGCTTGACCTTTAGATAACTTCTTGGAGGTAGTTTCTTGCTGATTTGCATTATTTTGTAATGATTTAAATCCTATTTAATACTACCTAGCACATACTGACTCACACATTACTACTTTCTACAAATCCCAAAAACAGTGAACCAATATTGAGTTACCTTTGTATTAAAAGCCTGATATACTGGTTGTGTCAGGGTTTGGCAGGAAGTTGGATCCAAGGGCAGTCAAAAAGGAAATGGCAGACAGATTTAACGAAAAGCAATCTTTCTTTGACGAAAAAGCTGATAAACAAATGTACAAACCATGGAGCACGACAATTACCCACTCTCTTGCACTTGGTGACATGCTCCTTCATTAAAATGTCATCATATTTCCAGCTGGAAAGGACAGAGGTCCTGCACTAGTAGATAGTACCAGGATCTGACCCCGTTACACAGAAAAGCAATGTCATTTATACAGATGAGACACAGGAAGGAAGGCAATCCACATTACAGTCCTAAGTTGGGTGGGGGGGCAGACAGAAGGGGAAGCGCAGCATGTTAATTACAAGCCCCAACATCCATGATAATTGCCTGACAATGGTCAGGGCGACACCCTTCTGTCTGACAACATTTTGTAGCCAGGAAACCTACATACATATTGAATCACTGTAAATTCCCATCATCATTTTCCAGTGACTACATTTTTTAAATCACTGACGCTTTCTATAAAATTCAACTAGTTACTGCATGAGTAAATTGTTTTAGGATTTACATTTTTTGAGAAAAAGCCAAGAGTATTCAGAGGCGGACTGACACATTGTTTGCTTTTTTTTATAGGATTTGATAACAATGAAAATGCTTAGTTTTGTAGGCGTGTTTTGTTTCTATATTGAATAACAGATGTATTATACTGTTCATACAGGTCAACTGAATCAGCAGAGTCATCTTTCAAAATCCCTTTTGAAGAAAGAAGCTAACCAGGGGGAGAAACTGAAGAATTTGTTAACTTGTGGTGGTAACTCACTAGACCAATATGACAGATTTGTTGTTGTTGTGAACAAGAGCAGTCCAGAACAAGTGCAGTATCTCCAGTTTCTGACTAAGTTGAAACTATTTTGTGTGCTAGACTTTGACCCCAACTCTGTTGCTCCTGGGGGACTCTGTCATTCCTACAGAGAGTCAAGGTTAGCCAATCTGCATACTCCATCACAATATCAAGGAAAGACTGACTCAGTGATAAAGGACCTTAACCTCTGCAAGCAGACAAGCTGGATCTTCTGCAATGGCAGACATGACCTTGACAGCAACTTGAACAAGGAGTTAGACTATAAGAACTGGCTGAGGAAATCTTGCAGAGACGTAGAACAGTTAGTATCATTCATCTGCAACCACGAAGTTTTTCACCATGGAAGAAGTCTCATCATATTTCTCCTACTTTCACCTGTGGTCACTGAGAAAGACCCAATCGTTGACATCTACAAATCATTCATAAAACACATCAAGGAGGAAAGCATCATCAATATTTGTGAATCTCAGAGCACATACCAGAAATGGAGGGAGCTGATACAGGAAAAGTGTGATTTCGACATTGAAGGTCTATCAATAAATGAACTAACCTTAAGTGAAATCAATGGTACTATAATGGCACTTGGGCCATTCAATCAGTCATCTGGAAGGTTACTTCCCTCTTCTGGTTCCAGTGCCATTGCCTTGAAACAGAAGGATGAAGATTTCATTACTGCTCTGGATATTTTGTGTCTGAATCAGTGTGAAAATATCTATGATGAAAACAGTGAAGAGTTCCAAGATTTTAGAAAGAAAGTTGAGGAGGAATTCTTCAGAGGAGGCAAAGTAAAATGGTGGAACTTTTACTTCTGTGACAAAAACAAAGATAAGCCATTTATCAAGCGGAACAAGTATGCCAATGTGAAGAAGATGATCAGGTCTAAATTGAAAGATTCAAAGGACATGTGTGTTCTGCTCAATCTGTTTCACCAACCGGGCTGTGGAGGTACCACCTTAGCAATGCATGTGATGTGGGATCTCCGTCATGAGTTAAGATGCGCAGTGCTAAATGACAACACAGTACCAAAGACAGAAGTAGCCACTCAAGTCAAAAGACTCATGAAACTTGAAAGTGAGAAACCATCTCCAGTATTGCTGTTAGTTGATGATTCAACAAGAACCGAAAATCTTAACGACCTTGTGAGCTGCATACGTAAAGAAGTTAGTTTGAACATTAATTTGGATGATGAACCAAATTGTAAAGTCATTATCCTTAACTGTGTTCGTTCCCATAGCCCAAAAGAGCAATTCAGAAAGCACAAACCAACCGAAAGTCAACATATAACGTCTTCATTGACACAAGAAGAACAGAAGGACTTTGAAAAGAAACTCAAAGAGCTCAAAGAAACTCATGAAAAACCAGAAAGCTTTTACAGCTTTATGATCATGAAAAGTAATTTTGATAAGAAATATATGGATGACATTGCTCATAACACACTGGAGAACTTTGATTTCAGCCAAAAGGAGGCCCGAATGTTTGCCTTCTTAGCATTACTGAATAACTATGTTGCAGAATCAGAAATATCGCTCGCTTTTGCTGAAGATTTCTTGGGGATGAAAATGATACATTGGAGAGAGGACAGTGTACTGGACAGAATGAAGCCATATTCCAACTTTCTCATTGTACACAAGGTTGAAGACTGGGGAGGATATAAAGCAATCCGAATCCTTCATCCGGCCATTGCATCTGCCTGTCTGGAAGAGTTAGAGAGAAGCTTCTCTTTAAAAGTGAGCGATATCACTATGGAGGTGCTTCACTGTGATCTCTTCTTCAGAGTTGGAGTTGCCAAACACAGATTCTCAATTAAACAAATGGTGATTGAAAGGCAGCGCAGCAAAGATGAGAGAGGACTATTTTCATCTCTCATAGACAAAGTCCACATTCAGCAAGGAAGGCAAACTGTCCAAGAAATATTTGTGAAAGCATCATCCAGGTTTGAAAAAAGTGCATCTATTCCTCAGGCCTTGGCAAGATATTTGTACATCAACGAATGTGACTTCCCAGAGGCTCTGAAATGGGCAGAAAAGGCCAAGAACATCAAAGAAAACCCATACACATTCGACACAATTGGGCAGGTTCACAAAAACAAATTAAAATCTAACAACAACAGAGAAAAGCAGGAAACATCACACAATCCAGAAGACTTAAACACAAACCTAAAAATAGCACAGAATGCCATCAGAGCGTTTAAAAGCGCTCAAGAGCTGGCAAACACAGATGATGACCCTGAAGATAAAGCTGCTGCTGATGAGTCGGGTGACTTTCCCAGAAAGTCATATAATGTTTACGGCTATGTGGGTGTGCTGGAAATTGCCTTCATAGTCTTTGAGATATTGTGCAGATTGCCGTTCTTTAAGGAAAAAGATCCAATGAAGAAGAAGTACTTCCAGAGTTACCTGCAAAAAGTAATCCCAATCACCAGCGTGCATAAGGATGACAATGACATCAACAACAGATATGTGGAGATCATCAAAGAACATGAGCAGTTTCTCCTTGGTTTGAAAACTGAAGTTAAAGAAACATTTGATCTTCTTGACTGTTACTACACATATATTAAAGCAAACAACTCCGAATTTGATTCGAAGAATCGTTGGACCGTCAGTGTTTTTTTTAAAGACTTTGTAAATCTTTTTTGCACTGCAACCGATGAAATGCGCAAAGAACGGCCAAGCAATTCTCATCTCAATTTGAAAATAGATATTGAAGAACGAAGATTGATTCTTGAAGCGAAACATGCAGATACATTCACAGGGATTCTTCAGCATTTGGACAAGCCTGCCGAAGAGATTGAGGAGATCACAGAATGCTATGCATTCTTGCAACAAAAACAGCAGTTTTTCAATAAAAAACAACAGACAAAGGAAACTATCAATTACATTATGTCGAAGATAGTTCTTTACCTTTTGAAACCAAAATCTAAGCATGTAAAGAGACTCAACCACCTCTCTGATCTGCTTTTGAAAACTCTGACGGATGTAGGACTTGGGTATCCCTTCCCAGACCCATACTATCTGGCTTTGCTGCTGTTCTGGCCAAGTCATACTCAGGAAAACCAAGAAATCGTGACATATGTGAAAGCAATTCGAAGATCATCCTGCAAGAGGTTCTCATTGCTTCGAATTAGGAGCACAGTTGCCCACCTCTTCTTAGGTAAAGAAGAGGGACTCAGTAGGCTTGTTTCCAAACCTCAACTAGATGAGAATTTTAAAGACATGCGATGTGACACCTTGGCACAACTTTGGCGAAATGGAAACATATTTAAAACACAGGCGATTATCAAACGTCTTCATCGAGTCGTTGGAACCATTGAGCAAGGAGAGGTGTTCGCCAATTACAGAAAACTGAAAATCCCTGTGCGTCCAGCTCTCATTGCTGGTACAAGAAGTGGTTGCAGCACAGAAAAGGTTTCTTTCTACCTTGGCTTTGCTATTGATGGACCCCTTGCTTATGACATTCAGTATGAAAACTAGGGTAAGGGACTGTAAATAACAAAGTGCAAATTGCACAAGTGCAGCAAAAGTGCCAAGACAATTTTTAGGTTTGAAATATAGGCGTGACAGCCAGTGAATCACTGTGATGGATTCCAAACACACCTCTTAAAAGCACATGAGCAAATTATAAACAAGACAGATTGAAAGTACACGTGCCAATCCTGTAGCTCATGCATGTTTTCTTTTGTATTCACTTTGTGACATTTAAGCTTTTAAAAACATTTGTTGTCTATTTTATGATGAGTTTTTATTATTTTGTTTTGGCTTGTTTCAGGTGTGGCAAACTGGCTCATTTTCATTCCTACTCTCTCTTAAGCGTATTTAATCTTGTACAAACAAGTGCAACACAAGCACTGATGCATACATTTTACAGCATGAAAAATACGTGTGACAGACAGTCATTCACTTTGCTGGAATTTTAAATACACCCCGTAAAGAAAACTGGTGCAACCGGTGAGACAGTTTGCAATGTAAAGAAGCAATCCTGTTGCTCTAATAGCTTATGCATATCTTTTTTTATTACCTCTTATTTTATCTTCATTTTATGTCATTTCATATTTTAAAGTGTTATCTTTGCTCTTACTAGTTATCATTACATGTGGCAGAGACAGATTTCACAGTCAAAAGGCTTTTTATGTCACATTAAGATAATATCATTACATTTTTTTAAACATTTGTTATGTAATTTATAATGAGTTTTTTTATATCTTTTAAGTCTGTTAAAGTTGTGGCAAAGTGTCTGTTGAAATGCAGTTAAATGCCTGGCCCTGCAGCTCTAGCCACAGTGCCCTTTCCCACCTATCTTGTTCAGACTGTTCAGTTTGATCAGAACCATTACAGGTGTGAAACCCACAAACAGTTGTGTAGTGGATTTGTAGTTTGTCACAATGTTTTTAAAACATTATTTTGTTTCCATAGGCAATTTTTTTCATTTTCTTTTGTAATTTGTTCTTTGAATTATTTCTGTTGTGTATTGGGTTTTGTTGTGTTTACTTTCTTAGCATTACTGAATACCTATGTTGCAGAATCCGAAATATCTCTCTCTCTTGCTGAAGAATTTTTGGGAATGAAAATGATACATTGGAGAGAGGACAGTGTACTGGACAGAATGAAGCCATATTCCAACTTTCTCATTGTACACAAGGTTGAAGACTGGGGAGGATATAAAGAAATCCGAATCCTTCATCCGGCCATTGCATCTGCCTGTCTGGAAGAGTTAGAGAGAAGCTTCTCTTTAAAAGTGAGCGATATCACTATGGAGGTTCTTCACTGTGATCTCTTCTTCAGTGTTGGAGTTGCCAAACACAGATTGTCAATTCAACAAATGGTGATTGAAAGGCAGCGCAGCAAAGATGAGAGAGGACTATTTTCATCTCTCATAGACAAAGTCCACAGTCAGCAAGGAAGGCAAACTGTCCAAGAAATATTTGTGAAAGCATCATCCAGGTTTGAAAAAAGTGCATCTATTCCTCAGGCCCTGGCAAGATATTTGTACATCAACGAATGTGACTTCCCAGAGGCTCTGAAATGGGCAGAAAAGGCCAAGAACATCAAAGAAAACCCATACACATTCGACACAATTGGGCAGGTTCACAAAAAACAATTAAAATCTAACAACAGAGAAAAGCAGGAAACATCACGCAATCCAGAAGACTTAAACACAAACATAAAAATAGCGCAGAATGCCATCAGAGCATTTCAAAGCGCTCAAAAGCTGGTATTCACAGAGGATGACCCTGAGGATAAAGCTGCTGCTGATGAGTCGGGTGACTTTCCCAGAAAGTCATATAATGTTAACGGCTGTGTGGGTGTGCTGGAAATTGCCTTCATAGTCTTTGAGATATTGTGCAGATTGCCGTTCTTTAAGGAAAAAGATCCAATGAAGAAGAAGTACTTCCAGAGTTACCTGCAAAAAGTAATCCCAATCACCAGCGTGCATAAGGATGACAATGACATCAACAACAGATATGTGGAGATCATCAAAGAACATGAGCAGTTTCTCCTTGGTTTGAAAACTGAAGTTAAAGAAACATTTGATCTTCTTGACTGTTACTTCACATATATTAAAGCAAACAACTCCGAATTTGATTCAAAGAATCGTTGGACCGTCAGTGGTTTTTTTAAAGACTTTGTAAATCTTTTTTGCACTGCAACCGATGAAATGCGCAAAGAACGGCCAAGCAATCCTAATCTCAATTTGAAAATAGATATTGAAGAACGAAGATTGATTCTTGAAGTGAAACATGCAGATACATTCACAGGGATTCTTCAGCATTTGGACAAGCCTGCCGAAGAGATTGAGGAGATCACAGAATGCTATGCATTCTTGCAACAAAAACAGCAGTTTTTCAATAAAAAACAGACAAAGGAAACTATCAATTACATTATGTCGAAGATAGTTCTTTACCTTTTGAAACCAAAATCTAAGCATGTAAAGAGACTCAACTACCTCTCTGATCTGCTTTTGAAAACTCTGACGGATGTAGGACTTGGGTATCCCTTCCCAGACCCATACTATCTGGCTTTGCTGCTGTTCTGGCCAAGTCATACTCAGGAAAACCAAGAAATCGTGACATATGTGAAAGCAATTCGAAGATCATCCTACAAGAGGTTCTCAATGCTTCGAAATAGGAGCACAGTTGCCCACCTCTACTTAGGGAAAGAAGAGGGACTCAATAGGCTTGTTTCCAAACCTCAACTAGATGAGAATTTTAAAGACATGCGACGTGACACCTTGGCACAACTTTGGCGAAATGGAAACATATTTAAAACACAGGCGATTATCAAACGTCTTCATCGAGTCGTTGGAACCATTGAGCAAGGAGAGGTGTTCGCCAATTACAGAAAACTGAAAATCCCTGTGCGTCCAGCTCTCATTGCTGGTACAAGAAGTGGTTGCAGCACAGAAAAGGTTTCTTTCTACCTTGGCTTTGCTATTGATGGACCCCTTGCTTATGACATTCAGTATGAAAACTAGGGTAAGGGACTGTAAATAACAAAGTGCAAATTGCACAAGTGCAGCAAAAGTGCCAAGACAATTTTTAGGTTTGAAATATAGGCGTGACAGCCAGTGAATCACTGTGATGGATTCCAAACACACCTCTTAAAAGCACATGAGCAAATTATAAATAAGACAGATTGAAGGTACACTTGCCAATCCTGTAGCTCGTGCATGTTTTCTTTTGTATTCACTTTATGACATTTAAGCTTTTAAAAACATTTGTTGTCTATTTTATGATGAGTTTTTATTATTTAGTTTTTGTTGTTGCTTGTTTCAGGTGTGGCAAACTGGCTCATTTTCATTCCTACTCTCTCTTAAGCGTATTTAATCTTGTACAAACAAGTGCAACACAAGCACTGATGCATACATTTTACAGCATGAAAAATACGTGTGACAGACAGTCATTCACTTTGCGAGACAGTTTGCAATGTAAAGAAGCAATCCTGTTGCTCTAATAGCTTATGCATTTACTACTTTTTTTATTACCTCTTTTATTTTATATTTTAAAGTGTTATCTTTGCTCTTACTAGTTATCATTACATGTGGCAGAGACAGATTTCACAGTCAAAAGGCTTTTTATGTCACATTAAGATAATATCATTACCTTTTTTTAAACATTTGTTATGTAATTTAATTATCTTTTAAGTCTGTTAAAGTTGTGGCAAAGTGTCTGTTGAAATGCAGAGTTAAATGCCTGGCCCTGCAGCTCTAGCTACAGTGCTTCTTGTTCAGACTGTTCAATTTGATCAGAACCATTACAGGTGTGAAACCCACAAACAGTTGTGTAGTGGATTTTTAGTTTGTCACAATGTTGTTAAAACATTATTTTGTTTCCATAGGCAATTTTTTTCATTTTCTTTTGTAATTTATACTTTGAATTATTTCTGTTGTGTATTGTGTTTGTTGTACTTTATTTTACATTTGTGTTGCCTCTTAGATTTGTAGTGATTGGTAGGTCTACCTATTTGCTTGAACAGAGTTAATATGTAATTGTTTTAATGTATATTTGTAGTGAGGCACAATCTGAAATGTTGTCATTGAATTTACTTTCTTTTGTATCCAGTCACATTTTGGAGGACATCTTTCTTTATGAAGGCTTAAAGTATCAATGATTTATATTGGTGCCACTCAATTGGTCAATTGGTTTGTGATTATAAAAATGATTCTGAATGTAATATACTGTAATGTCAGTAAGAACACATGAGTAGTTGAGAAAAATGATAAAAACGTTGTATTTGACGTGTTTGTGAATATTTACATTGTGCCATTAGTCAGAGCCACCCTAGTCAAAAAACTGGACATGCCACTGAAATGTATACAATCATATCTTGTGTATCTGTTTAATTGTTTTTTGTAGAATTAAATAATTGTAACCCTGACTTAATTGTAACCCTGTCAACAGTGTATTACTGTGGGCTGTGATCAAGTTCTAAAATATACTTTACAGATCTAAGGCCATTAATAATTCATTTCAATGTATAACCTCTATATTTATTCTTGCAGTCTTTGGAAAGTAATCAGTTGAGAGCGCGTACAGCGGTCTGCTTGTGCACGGAGCAGGAGTTTGTGAGAGGGCTTAGAGTCAATTTCTCTTCAAAATACAATTGATGTGCTTGCAAAATATATTTTTCTGTGCTCAAACTTTTTCAATTGCGCGCTCAATAACATTTTCGGCTTCTCATTTGCATCACGTGTATGCAGATCTGGAAAATGAGATGCAAGATGATATTAAATCAGACAATAATAAACAGTTACACCATCGTGAAACAAATACCGAACTAAGTAGAAGAAGATCCCTGGACAAATCACAGACTCAGCCATGGGTTATATTGAGTCTGTGACCGAACTGAGTCTCACTGGAATATAAACGTTCTGCTCTTTGTTTAGGTTATTTATATATATATATATATATTAGGGCTGTCAAGCGTCTTTACGGTAATCGCCGAGAAGCGGCGCTGACGGTAGTTCAAACCGGAGAGACGTGATGTGAGAATTACATATTTATTGTTTACACGTCATATGAATGAAATGATTGCCATGATAGTACAACAGGAGAATGTAATGGTGTTTGGCGATTAGGCCCCCGGTTTGCAGGATAATCATTCAGGAGGGAAAGCACCGCTCCGATGAAATCCCCAAAACCAGTGAAGTATGAATACTGAGATGAACTGAGTTGCTTACCTTGTGGGGTGACTGGTGATCTGGGGAGGAGAGATAATAGATTAACACGTATATGAGCGACACTGTGCCGGAATCACTGCCGGAGCTTACTGGTCATGCTGAGACTCTGACTGCCGAAATCAGTGCCGGTCTTATCTGAAAACGACCTGCGGGTCGCATGCCTGGCCAGCAGGGCTTGACTACGCCGAGGAGCGAGCGGTTTCGTTTTGTAACGGTGGGCCAACGTCCACGACACCGAAGTGTACGGTAGCCTTCCGCTACGACACCGAAGTGTACGGTGGCCTTCCGCCACGCCTGACTTCGCAGGCTATATATATATATATATATATATATATATATATTTCTCTTTATTCTTTTTCCTTTGTTTTGTAACTAACACCGAAGTGTACGGTGGCCTTCCGCCACGCCTGACTTCGCAGGTTATATATATATATATATATATATCTTTTCTTTACTCTTTCCTTTGTTTTGTAACTGACACCGAAGTGTACGGTAGCCTTCCGCTACGACACCGAAGTGTACGGTGGCCTTCCGCCACGCCTGACTTCGCAGGCTATATATATATATATATATATTTTTTTTTTTTCTTTATTTCTTTTTCCTTTGTTTTGTAACTGACACCGAAGTGTACGGTGGCCTTCCGCCACGCCTGACTTCGCAGGTTATATATATATATATATATATATATATATATGTATCTTTTTTCTTTACTCTTTGTTTTGTAACTGACACCGAAGTGTACGGTAGCCTTCCGCTACGACACCGAAGTGTACGGTGGCCTTCCGCCACGCCTGACTTCGCAGGCTATATATATATATATATATATTTTTTTCTTTACTCTTCATTTCTTTTCCTTTGTTTTGTAACTGGCACCGAAGTGTACGGTGGCCTTCCGCCACGCCTGACTTCGCAGGCTATATATATATATATATATATATATATATATATATATATCTTTACTCTTTCTTTATTTCCTTTGTTTTGTAACTGACACCGGAGTGTACGGTGGCCCGAGTCCACGCGGACTGCAGGAAATACATTTTACACTGATGCGTTTGAGCAAGGCCTGGGAATGAAATACCTGTGTGCCGGAGATGAAGCCCGTTACATGTAGTTGCGGCGTGAGACGAGACATTATTCCCTGTGGGCGGGGCCCGCGGAATTAGGACAGGAATGCAGTTTTGAATATCGGGAACCTTAGTGAGACATGTATACTTGTGAATGTGTTTGAGCCACCACCAGTTATATGTATAACTACCATAGTTAGGGTCTGAGAGATCTTTGGGAAGCCCGTACGGCGCTGATGTCCGGACGAAATGAAGGTTGTGAAGGCGGAGGAGGACCACCGTCCTAGTTGTTGTAGGGATGAGGTAGAGAGACCTTGATTAGCAGCAGAGGTGGCTGCACCTATCCTGAAGGAATGCCCGGGTATGATATGGGTGATAGGCTGGATTTAGTGAGAACTTGCTTGGGTAGAAATTGACGGGGCCATGACCCTGCGAACCGCTCTCCCTGGAAGAAACCCCCCAAAACCCATGGATGGGCGGCATCCGTGAAGACCTCATTGAGTCGGAGGAACGCACGAGGCCATCGTAAAATAAAGTAATTCCGTTCCAGTGGGCGAGCAGGAGGGACCAGAACCGAAGGTCTGAACGGCAGCCTTCGTCTAAGAAAACGCAGTCATGGAGGTTGTCGACCGCTGATGCTGCGTCCAGGAGGCGGGAGATGAACGAGCGCCCCTGGGGGATGACGTGCTTGGCGAAGTTGAGGTGTCCGAGAAGGGAGAGCAACTGTTGTTTTGTGATAACTTGTTGCTCGCAGTATGACTTGGTGATGTCCTGGATGCGCTGCGATTTGTCGGAGGGGAGAGACGCCTTCATGTCTATGGAGTCGAGGCTGATGCCTAAGAACTCTAAGCGTGTGACGGGACCTAACGTTTTCTCTTTGGAGAGAGGGACACCTCACTCCTGAAGCAGTGTTTAAGCTTGGCCAGTGAGATCCCTGAGCTGTCCTGTGGCGGGTTTATGGGGAGGAAGTCGTCCGGTAGGTGAAGGACGGAGGGGATTCTGACGATGTTCAGCAGGATCCAATAGAGCGCTTCCGAGAAGGAATTGAAGATGCAGGGGCTGCTTCTGCACCCGAAGGTCGTGCGAACGCGAAGATAGAGTTTGGACTCCCACTTAATACCGAACAAGTTCCACTGAGACGGATGAATGGGGATGATTTGAAGGCATCGGTAATGTCCGCTTTGGAGAGCCGAGCTCCGTGCCCTGTGAACTTGATCATCTTTATTGCATTATCCACTGAGGCATGGTGAAGGGAGAACTGATCTGGAGGGATGATGCTATTGACGCTGCAGAATGGGCCGGAGCAGGGAGCGGACAGATCGAAAATCAGCCTTTTATTTACGTGTGGCTATTCCGATGGGATTTGAACGGAACACTGAGAAGGGGGAGGAGCTAAAAGGACCGATTATATATCCTTTGAGAAGTTCTTTGTCGATGAGCTGGGAAACTATGTTGGGTTCTTTAGCGGCTGACTGTAAGTTTCTTGCTACGAAAGTCACTGTGGGAGATGGGAGGACCCCTACCCTGAAGCCTTGGGAGAGCCCTGACGGGAGATAGTCAACGAACACGGAATCTGTAGATAGCGCAGCTGCTAGCTGAGGGATGTTAATGGGAGTGGAGGGGTGATATTCCAGAATGTTTTTTTTTTTTTTTTTTTTAAAGTTTCTGGCGCAGAGCCACTGTGACGGCCCGTCCACACGGTGGCGTGCGTTACAGCTTCCGACGCTTCTGCCCATTCACTTTGAATGGGGTGACGTCACTTTTAGTAGAACTGTATTTTGGGAAGCGACGTGGAGCGTTTGCTGGCGTTGCTCGCTTCAAAAAGTTAAGCAATGTTCAACTTTTGGCGCCTCGGCAGAAGCGTCAGCCAATGAAATCCCGTTTATGCAAATCTGCCGGTACAAGCGCTAGCCAATCAGACCGCGTGTATGTTGGGAGAGACTACGCAGGTAATTCCTCATATTCCAAAAATGTGAGGGAAAATTCATTATAGCGGTAGTGAATCACCCGGTGCTGTATGATCAGTCTCTGTTCATCTACCGGGATACAAACCAGAGGAGCGAGGCATGGAGGAAGGAGGCAGAGACAGTGGGTGAAACTGGTAGGTTTTCGCCTGTTGGGGATTTTTTTCTTTTTTTTTCTTTCCAGTTTACTTAGTTTTAACATTGCTATTGCTTTGTGTGTCGGGGGCAAGAGATTCATGTGATTGGTTGTTGCTGCTGTGCGGACCAGTAGCGTAGGCAGAAATTTACTTTAGGGTGGGCCTGTAAAAATATAGGGTGGGCCAGATTTTCTTCTGCGCATCGGAAACTAACCACGATCCCGCCGGTACCGGTGGCAGATTACTTTTAGAATACTTCCTTTCCTCTTCTTTTTCTTCTTTCCTCCTCTTTTTATCTTTTCTCCTTTTCTTTCTATCTTTTCCTCTTCTTTTTCTTTCTTCTTTCTCTTTAGAATACTTTCTTTTCCATAACAGATGGGTATGTTTTGGTGAACGGGAGACACGTATTTTACTGTTTTAATGGCTTATGAAGAGCACGAACACAACATTTTAGTGTCATTCTGGACAGCTCTCTCATCTGCACCGCACATAAAAAGAAAAACTCACCCAGACTGCATTCTTTGTACTGTCTTAAAACCTTTCCTTGGAAAAGTTTATGCATTGTAAGGTGTCCTTGGGTGCTTTGAAAGGCGCCCCTAAATAGAATACATTATCATTATTATTTATTATCTGCAACGATGTAATCACTTTTAAAACTTTTCCCAGTTACTTGTCCCATGCATTCGGCAGCAGCAGGCCATTCAGTTAGATTTGATCCCGTTATGAATGTCATCATTCCGACAATAAATAAATGCTACATAAACGTTATCTTCCACGTTTTATCTAAACATCTCCGTTTCTACCTTCCAATATGTTTTGAAAGAGAACTCTCTCTCTCTCTCTCTCATCTGCGTGCGGGGCGGGGCCTCACGGACACGCTGCATCTCTTGCTCGCAGATACGCTGCAGCGCTGTGCACACGGTTCTGCCGGTAATGAATATTACATTGTG